AACTAAGTACCTTTGTACATTCTAGACAAATTCTCTGGAGACATATACCAATGATACATCATCTTATAAAAGTTCTCCTTAAGATTAGAACTTAAGGTAAATTTCAAACCCTTTGTCCACATATATTTCCATTGTTCAATATGAATGTCAGGCCCAAAGCTTTTTGCAATTGTACCATACATTCTTCAACTTGAGGCAGGGGATGAACTTTTGTGAGTCACTGCTCACTTCTTCACAAAAGCTCATACCCTGCCACAAATTTTGTTAGTCTTTAAAGTTGCTACTGGACTCTTGCTCTTTTCTACTGCTACAGATAGCACGGCTACTCATCTTGATCTATTCTTTAACTTGTTCTTCCTCACTTTCAAATTTCAATAAGTGTTCATAAATTTTAGCAATAACATGGTCATCTTTTGTAAACAATTCTATTTCAAATCCAGACTTTGATTGCTCAAAATCATGATAGCTTTTATCAGCTTTGGACCTTTCCAACATTTGTAAATAGGTACGCCAGTGGCAAGTGTGGCCTTCAATTATTAAGTCTTCTCTAAATTAAATTTCAAACCCTTTGTCCACATATATTTCCATTGTTCAATATGAATGTCAGGCCCAAAGCTTTTTGCAATTGTACCATACATTCTTCAACTTGAGGCAGGGGATGAACTTTTTTGAGTCACTGCTCACTTCTTCACAAAAGCTCATACCCTGCCACAAATTTTGTTAGTCTTTAAAGTTGCTACTGGACTCTTGCTCTTTTCTACTGCTACAGATAACACGGCTACTCATCTTGATCTATTCTTTAACTTGTTCTTCCTCACTTTCAAATTTCAATAAGTGTTCATAAATTTTAGCAATAACATGGTCATCTTTTGTAAACAATTCTATTTCAAATCCAGACTTTGATTGCTCAAAATCATGATAGCTTTTATCAGCTTTGGACCTGTCCAAGATTTGTAAATAGGTACACCAGTGGCAAGTGTGGCCTTCAATTATTCACCTTGTTGCAGTTCTAACACATCATGATATGTTAACCATTTATGTGAACCCATCATTTCTTTTCTAAAATGTACTTCTTGTGGTGATAACCACAAAGGTATTTTCATGCAGAACCTAGGTTTAAACTTACTCCATACTTTCAAAATGGCACGTCTAATGTAATGATTATTGAATTCTGCATTAGCTTTAGCTTTGTTGTACATCAGATATCTGTGCCATCCAAATCTCAGATCATGTCCTTCTACCTCTAATAATCTTTTGTTCTTTAACAAAATCAAATCTTTCATCCATACCAAGCTGGAGGCAGCAAAATACAATGTCAAATCCAGCAAACCCAAACCACTTCTTTCTTTTGCATCTTATACCATATAGCTGACATGTGGGTTTTTTCCCTTGCAATACAAATCTAGATATTTCTTTCTGCCATTGTTTAAACGGTACATCTGTTGTCATAGTGGGAATTGTCTGGAACAAGAATAACAATCTAGGTAAAACATTCATCCAGGCCTGAAGCCAGGATTTTATAATCCAGGGGGCCTTTAAATAAGTCAGGGGGCTCTGACGTCACAAAATAAAATACAATAAAAATTTTAAAAACTCACTTTTCCAGCATTCGCACTATGCCTGCCTACATGGGGAAGAAAGCCATGCTTGGGGAAGATGAGGCAGTGGGGAGTCCTCTGGGCAGCTCAAAGAGTTGGTAGTCCTCCAGGTGGCCCAGAGAGCCAGGGGAGGCTGAGGGCTAGATGGAAGTTGGGGGGGCCTTGGCAGGAAGTCAGGGAGCCAGGTCCCAAAATGCCCCACTGTAGCTACAGGTCTGCATTCATCTTAATCTCAGATATTCTACCCAAAAGTGACTTGCACATTACCCCATCTCAACAAATCATTTTAGCTGCAAAAAACTATTTAAAAAACTCACTTTTGCAGCGCTTGCAGTCTGCTTGCCTATGCGGGGAAGCAAGCTGCATTTGGGGAAGGGGTGGTGGTGGGGAGTCCTCCAGGTGGCCCAGAGAGTTGGGGGACCTGGGGGCTGCACAGAAGTCGGGGGGCCTTGGCAGGAAGTCAGGGAGCCAGGTCCCAAAATGCCCCACTGTAGCTACAGGTCTGCATTCATCTTAATCTCAGATATTCTACCCAAAAGTGACTTGCACATTACCCCATCTCAACAAATCAATTTAAATTTCATTCCAGATTTTGACATAATTATTTTTAAATAACATACAATTCATATTTGTCAAGATAATACCCAAATATTTAACCTTTTTTCTATTTTAAAACCAGTTCTATTTATCAATTTTGTTTGGTCTTGTATTTTCATATTTTTGTTATCATCTTGGTCTTCTGTTTATTAACCGTAAAGCTCACAACTTCTCCAAATTCTTTCAATTTAGTCATTAAGGTTTCAATTCCCTTAAAAGATTTTCTAAGACCGAAATCAAGTCATCAGCAAAGTGAACTATTTTAGAGGAGGAATAACAACAAGCCAGTGAGGTGGATTAGGCTGAGAGTGTGTGTCCTGACCAAGTTCACCCAGCACATCTCCTTTGTAGGGAGTTGTAGTTATTTCTCTGGGGAAGGCAAATGAAGCAACTTATATACAAAAGCTCATAATGCCCAGCCAATTCATGTTTCCCCCTGGGTCCTAGGCTCAGAACACTGAGTTTGCAGCTTACAGATACACACCTGAACAGCATATTCAAGATTGCTACAGCACAGACATTTTGACACAATTTCAGAGCAAGAGGTGTCAGTTATCAGACACTGTTAAATAGACAAAATATTGCAAGAGTGCTAGTGTTTTAAGCAGGTTTTATTTAAAGTTTAAAAAATCTTCAATTGTGTTTGTCTGTGTCCTTTATAAAGTTTATATCTCTAATACCTGGCATTACATTTTATGACACACATGGCCCCACCCAGCAAGGTCTCATTTATGTCAGATCCGTCCCTCATTACAAATGAGTTCGACACCCCTGGCCTACACGGTTCCAAACATGCTGCTGCCCCTATAAAGTCTAGAACAGGGGTGTCAGGCATATGGCCCATGCAGGGCTCCCATCCAGCCCATGAACAACTGGCTCTCTGCTGATTCCTGTTCCTGCTTCCTTCATTGCAGCTACTTTTGCCCATTCTCGCCTATTTTCTGCTTTGCAGAGGAGAGAAAGAAAGTCAAACCTCTCTTCTGTCGACTGGATATTGGGAGATTCTCAGAGGCTGCAATAAGCAAATGGGTAACAAGCATTTTTCCTTCATGTGGGCAAAGACCACGTCATTTCTGGACCTTTTCTTATTGACAGAAACATTGAGGTGCCTGGACTGACTCCCCACACATACACCATGTCACCTTTCCTCTTTTACACAATGAACTTAAGTTCAGATATTCTCTTCAAAAAAATAGCTTATGGGAAAATGTTGCTCTTTCTGAATGTTTTATATTTCACAGTTGTATGGATACATATTTATAATGACTTAGAGATATGCTTAATGATACATTTTTAAAAACTAGTTGCAAAAGTCATTCCCTTTGAATATTGGTTCTAAGTCAATTGCAGCTTCCCACAGAAAAGCAACAACAAAAAAATCAACCTGAACATAGCTAACCAAAATCATTGCATATTAAAGATGTATTATTTGTCTTATAACCCTTTTTGCTTTATTTACTAACCTCAGGGTCAGTTGTTCCAGGGCTAATTTCTCCCAAAGATCTGCATCTATTTTTATTTTCCCACAGCAATTACCTCAGAAGAAAGGGATCACCTTCCACCATCTCATCATCAAAAAAGAAGAAAGGCATATACAAGCGCATTCTACTACGGAGATGTGGTAGAGAAAAGTACCATCAAGGTGCAGCCAACTGACAGTGATCCCACAGAGTTTGCAAGGCAAGAGACAGAGGTGGCTTGCCATTGCCTGCTTCTGTGTAACCTTGGCCCTCCTAGATGGTCTTCCACCCAAGTACTAACCAGGACCAACCCTCTGTTTAGCTTCCAAGATCAGACTAGCCTAAGCCATCCAAGGTCAGGGCATGAAGGACCTAGAGCAAGGGTGTCAAACATATGGCCCATGGGTCCCTGCACGGCCTGAATCCAGTCCGAGAGCAACTGCCTGTGTGCTGCTTCCTGCTCCCTGTTCTTTACATTGCAGCTCTTTCTGGTCAGTCTCTCCTAGTTCCTGCTTCAGAGGAGAGAAAGAAAGCCTTCCTTCGATTGGCTGAGGGCCCCCCCCCCTCCTCTGGGGAGGGAAGGGGAGGAAAAGAGCCGGGGGCAATGGTGTCTAGTGGGACTTTTGAGAAGACCAGCAACATTTTATTCCAGGTATAAGCACACTTTTTCTTCAGAGGGAGGGAGAAAGCCAGAGGGAGCACACCAGAAAAAGAAAGAGAGTCCTGTGTTTAAGACCAAGAAACGTTTTATTCCAGGTACAAGGGGGAAGAGTCTTGTGTTTAAGACCAAACATTTCAGAAGGCCAGCAACATTTTATTCCAGGTATAAGCACACTTTTTCTTCAGAGGGAGGGAGAAAGCCAGAGGGAGCACACCAGAAAAAGAAAGAGAGTCCTGTGTTTAAGACCAAGAAACGTTTTATTCCAGGTACAAGGGGGAAGAGTCTTGTGTTTAAGACCAAACATTTCTACAGGTATCTATGAGAATTAAGCAGTATTTAACTTTGGCCCAATGGTGTGGCCTGAATAACTTTGGCTTAAAGTTTTAAGAAATCAGCTACACACAGGAACAAAAATATGAAAGCAAAGTGATACATAGAGGTAAGGAATAGAAGAGAAGAAGAGAAGAGATTGGATTTATACCCCGCCCTTCACTACTCAAAGGAGTCTCAGAGCAGCTTGCAATCTTCTTTCCTTTCCCCTCTCCACAATGGACATCCTGTGAGGTAGGTGGGGCTGAGAGAGCTCTGACAGAAACTGCTCTTTTTCAAGGACAGCTGTTATCAGAACTATGGCTTGCCCAAGGTCATCCAGCAGGTGCAAGTGGAGGAGTGGGGAATCAAACCCGGTTCTCCCAGATTAGAGTCCGCGCACTTAACCACTACACCAAACTACACCAAGATGTAGCCTGTATATGTGGCCCTCTAAGGCTTTACCTCTGGAAATCACCTTTTCCTCTGTATTACGGGCAAGCTGCATAGAATGGTGTACATGTAATGGTAGCCCTACATCTCTTTCACTGTTATAAAGTGCCTTCCCTTCCCAAAGTAACTTTTGGAAGGGAGATCAGGTTACTGGTCTGTCATTGCACACTTCTACAGTGTTAAGTTTAGCCGTTCAGTTTAGTACCAGTTTTTACTCATTGTTCAGTCTGGGAAGGGTGGTGGTGGAAGGTCCTTCTTGGGCAAGTGTTTGTGGGAACTTTGAGGAAGGTAAAATAATTTCCAGTCCATAAAAATTTACAAGAAACTTGGGGAATATCTCTGGGTCAAGAGGACATACAGAAGGAAATTCAGAAGGGTGCAAGCCTTTGCAGAGTTCTTACGGTCTAAGCAAATTGACAGTTTCAACTCTGCACAGGATTGCACTGTAAGATACACTCCATGTCCTCTCTATTGTTTACCTCATTCTCAATAAGTCCCCTTGATCATATTAAGGATTTCACTATGCAGTTGAACATATGCATCCAAACCACAGATGAATGACTCATGATCCCATTCAGGAATAAACTTGTGGTATGTGAGGTTTGTGATTTGAGGGAGTAAGAGGGCAATATCCTCAGGGTCAGCAAGTCCATCATTTCCAACAGTCCAAACGGCAGTTGATACATTAATATTCATTACATTGTATTCAGGAGGGTTGACAGCAGAGGGTTTGCACAGGATTGCATTGTAAGATACACTCCATGTCCTCTCTATTGTTTACCTCATTCTCAATAAGACCCCTTGATCATATTAAGGATTTCACGATGCAGTTGAACATAAGCATCCAAACCATAGATGAATGACTCATGATCCCATTCAGGAATAAACTTGTGGTATGTGAGGTTTGTGATTTGAGGGAGTAAGAGGGCAATATCCTCAGGGTCAGCAAGTCCATCATTTCCAACAGTCCAAACGGCAGTTGATACATTAATATTCATTACATTGTATTCAGGAGGGTTGACAGCAGAGGGTTTTGACTTTGCACAGGATTGCATTGTAAGATACACTCCATGTCCTCTCTATTGTTTACCTCATTCTCAATAAGACCCCTTGATCATATTAAGGATTTCACGATGCAGTTGAACATAAGCATCCAAACCATAGATGAATGACTCATGATCCCATTCAGGAATAAACTTGTGGTATGTGAGGTTTGTGATTTGAGGGAGTAAGAGGGCAATATCCTCAGGGTCAGCAAGTCCATCATTTCCAACATTCCAAACTGCCGTTGATACATTCATATTCGTTACATTGTATTCAGGAGGGTGTGTCTTTTCAAAAAAGTAAAAGGAAAAAAAATCAAGGAAACAAATAAGACTAGAAAAGATGTTACTTGTAACCATTTTAAAAAGCATGTTATAATATAGGCTTGCAGCAAATACCTTAAAATGAAAATCAGACATGTTATGGGGTTGCCAGCTCTGGGTTCGGAAATTCCTGGAGATTTGGTGAAGCCCAGGGAGGGTAAAGTTTGGGGAGGGACCTCAGCAGGTTATAAAGCCACAGAGTCAACCCTCCAAAGCAGCCACTTTTCTCCAAAGGAACTGATCTCTTTAGTCTGGAAATCACTTGTAGTTCTGGGAGATCTCCAGGCCCCAACTGGAGAGCTACAACTAAAAATCCCCCCACTTCTAGCTGCTTTATGCTTTGTCTCTGAAAAAAGAGGGAGACAGAAGAGCAATGCCTCACAGATCTCAAGGGACGGGCTCAGCCATTTAGATATCCTGGCTCCATGATGTTCATTGCTTTACAGCTGGTAATAATGACTTGGGCACAGAAGCAAATAGGCAGCCAGTGAAGTTATTCTAACATTGACCAGCTGTGCCTACCTTGAATGTCACAGCCACACTGTGCATCCCCTGAAGCTTCCAAACCAACTTCCAAGGCAGCCCCATGTAAAACATGATCAGTGCATGAATAACAGGAGCCAAATCCTGCCTTGCTTGTGAAAATTGCTACATAGATCTGTGCCTCCACCTGCAGATCCGCAACTAATAGCACTGCCAACCTGCTTATTCTGAGGAAGTGTGAACTCCATCTAGCTAGGTCAGGCTGGCACCTTAATCTTGGATTATATACATTATTAGCCAACAACACCTTCATCTTATCTGGACCCTGGTTCCATTTATAGCCATATGGGGATGCTGCCATTCTTTTATGCCTACAATGGCTATATATTTTCTGCCTATCACACAGCTGTTGAAAGCCCAAGAACCTAAGGTGGTGCAAGAGATATTCAAAGAACATAGAAAAAAAGTCGTAGATGCATACTGAGTGAGATGACAAATGAGGGTCTAAAGAGCATTGGGGAAACTTCCATCAATGTAACTCAACATTAAAGATTACGATGCTGAGATAAGTTCTGAACCATTTGAAATTATGGCTGAGAACTTATGACAGACAAGCAAATTTAGATAAGAATCTTGACTTTTTCAATATATAGCCAGATTCCCAATAAAATTTCACCTAACATGACACATAAAGCATATTTGAGGATTTGTCCTGAAGAAAAACTTCTGAAGAATTTTAAGGGATACCAGCATAGTTTGGGTTAGAACTCAGCTGACTTCTAAATTTAGATTTTTGTATCAAAATCTGCATATTTAGTAGACTCGACATAGTTCTCCACCATTTTAAAATAAATTTAATTATTTTGAACTTCCTGCACAGTTTCCAGTGTTGAGGCTCTGGACAAAGAAGTACAGCTTTTCAAGGTCGCTGTTTAAAGAAGTGATGGATATATATCCAAATTTACACAGATCATTTAATCTCAGATCTGTTTTTTTATATATTAACATTCTCAGGCGGTTCCAAAAGCTTAGTGGATCTCACCTGGAGCAAAATTTAAGTGAAATCTGGGTATTTCTCCTGAGATACAGCACCTGAAGAATTTAGAAGGAAGCAAAAACAGCCATTCTAAAACTAGCTAGATGAGTTAATGGGTTTGTGATCTGGGCATATGTAGCACATGGTGAAAACTGGGAAGACTGGAAAATTTAGTTTCAATCCCTTGAAAGATATCAAAGGGGGAAAAAAAGCCCTAGGGCAGGGGTGTCAAACATGTGGCCCGGGGGCCAGATCAGGCCCCTGGAGGGCTTCTATCAGGCCTGCAGTGGAACTGGCTGTCTTCTGCTTCTTCTTCCAGTTCTGCTGCTGCTGCGTCATCGTAGGTTTGCAGCTTACAGGTACACACCTGAACAGCATGCTCAGGATTGCAACAGCACAGACATTTTGATGCAGTAATTCAGAGCAAGAAGTGTCAGTTATCAGACACTGTTATACAAACAAAATATTGCAAGAGTGCTAATGTTTTAAGCATGTTTTTATTTTAAGTTAAAAAAACCCTTTGTGTCCTTTATAAAGTTTATATTTCCACTACCTGGCATTACATTTTATGACACACATGGCCCGGCCCAACAAGGTCTCTTTTTATGTCAGATCCAGCCCTCATAACAAATGAGTTCGACACCCCTGCCTTAGGGTATATGAAAAACTGACATACTTATTACACCCAGATTCTCACACCACAGACCCTGCCCAAATTGGTAACCTGAGCACCTACTATTTGTTGGGAACTCCATTTTATGGAACTCCCAGCTTCACATCTGGTTCAGCCTCACTACTGGAAAAACAAAAACTATACAAGCCCTTCCCCCAAATGTTTAGGACTGCTTTATATGTGCCAAAATTAATGGGTACACCACACTTGTACACAGCAACTAAAGTGCAAGGTACATATTATAAACATGGAACATGTGATCAGCTTTTAGTCATTGTGGCATGTACACACAATTTGTAGACAGTTTTTAAAAGGCATTCTATCTCTTTCAAGATGTAAACCTGTGGGATACCTGCTAAATACATATCCAGACACAGACAAATAAGGGAACGAGTAAAGCAATGCAAAACCAAAAGAGATGTCCCTCCTCCCAAAAAATAAACTGAGTACTAAAGATCACAATGAATTCACTAATCTAAGTCATAAACAAAAAGTATGTTGAATACAATGATATGGACCAACCTAGGACATAATGGGTTGATCCGATATGAAGTTTTTCCTTGTGCTAAAGCCTCTTGCACAAGCAGAAAAAACAAGTCCCTAACTTACTAGGAGCCCCCCTTTGTGCCCTGTGGGGTGGGCGGCCTGCCAGGCCAAATGCTACCTCCTTTGGTGCAGCAGCATTTCCCGGGGTCCTGTGTGGCTTGGCTTGTGCATGCCCCCTATGGCTCTCCTCCCCATTCCAGCCAATCAGGTTGCTGGCTGGGTTTGCCCTGGGGGTGGGGCTAAACAGGCAGATCTGAGGTGTTCAGTTTTCAGTCTGGTCCACCTGCTGGGATTAAATTCAGCCCTCCCCGGTGCTTGGGCCACATATGTTCCCAGGCAGCTTGTGCTAAAGCTGTTGCACAAGCAGAAATGCAAGAGGGGAAAGACTGCAGCTACCACATGCACTAAAGTCAAACTTACTGGTTGCATTTCCACTTGCACAACATCATACCACCAAACCTAGGTTTTTAGGAAATGAACTCAGCAGCTTCTTCATTCTCAAATTAGTTAACACATTGTTATGCCACCTGTCATGCAACTGGCTACCCAAAGTACAACAGAGGTGAGGAAATAGATTGCTGCCCATCTTAAGGCCACTACACAAAGCCCTGGAGTTTCTCTGCTCATGAACGGCTCTTCATAGAACTCTACTGTACACTGGGCCAGTGTAGTGTATCAAGTCCTGACAAGTCCAGACCAATGTTCCCGTCTGCGTACTTTTCAGCCAGGATAAGGAATATAGGTCGGGGGTATTGCATGACAGTCCCCTAAACGTGTTCAAAGTGGAAATGGCTGAAGGCTGACTTTGTGGGTCAGTGGGAGGCCCTCGGAGCACTGGATTCAAAGCCCAACTCAGTCCTGAGGCCCACTGCACAGCCTTGGGCAAATAATTCTCTTTCATGCCATAACTACCTCACAGAGTGGTTGTGAGGATAAAATGGAGAAGGGCAGAGCTATATCCTGAGCTGTGTGAAGGGTGGGTGGAATAATGGGATGGCCCTATTTTTGCTAGTCTGTCCAGAAAACTAAGAAACTGTTGAAGTAGCTTCAAACACTACCATAACTTTTGCTGTTTCATAAGAAAGACGCCACTATGCTGTTTTTAGGAAAACCCAAAAAACACACACCCCTCAAATATTTTACCTTTTCATAACGTTCCAAGTTTTTCAATGTTCCATAATCATAAGCTTGGAGTTTGCCACTCTTCATCACCTAGAAAGAATCAAGATTTTCAGCAGTGATGTTTCCATATACATTCTGAAGAGATTCATACCAGCTGCTAGAAAATAAGTGGCTACAACTTTGGTAAGACCCTTAAGAATTCGCAACAAGCAGTTAATAAATATCCTGTTGTTTCATAATATCATCACAGCTGAATAACCTTAAGGGTAGCACACAGAAGCTGGGATTCCTCCACCATCTGCAATTCTCAGTTGGGATGACTTCACCCTGGGACCCACAGCATTTATATGTTCTACCCAGGCTCCTCCCAGCCAATTTTTTATGCCCAAGGGAAGATTGCCTGCATTGCCTTCCCTTAGATTTACGCTTACGGTCAGGAAGTCATGCCTGCTCTAAAGGGAATTCTGCTGAGCTAAAGCAGGTCCCTGAGCCGAGAGTATCCCAGGGCCATCGCACTGATGTCTCAGGATGCTCAAGAGTCTTCCCAATGTTACTTGAACTGCTCATGCCACAGAAGGGAACTAGTTTAGCTAAGGCTCCTCTTCCCCCACTTGCTCAGAATACTATTGGGTTAAATGCTAAAAAAATCATTTGACTTGGAAGCACAGAAGCTTTACACAGTATCTCCTGTCCTCCACGTTTCCCCATTAAGGGGAAAATGCTGTTCAAACAAATGACAAAGATGACCTGGCTCCAGCGGTAACAAGAGAAAGAAATTTTATTTATTTACAAAAATAGAAGCACATCTTACATGACATTTTCATCTAGGTACATTTAACTTATCGTGAACAGATTAACTTCAGAAAGGTTAACTTGCTACACCTCCAAGCCCATGTAAGACAGAGAAGAACAGAGGTCCTATATAAGATGAAAGTAGAAGGCAAGCAATGGCCAAAGACGCTTAAACGCCTAATCAATGAGAGGGTGGGGCCAACTGTCAAGTGTATCCAAGAAAAATAATTCTCTTAGCCCTTTCTCTCCCAGATCCTCTTACATGCAGAGTTACAGTTTCCAACAAATACCTCTGAACAGGGGCCGCTACACTTCCTCAAGGAAAATATCATACATCTCTTGGTGAAGTGTATGCCGTTATCACCATACACATGTGTCAGGAAATGCTTTGCCTCTAGATGACACAGGTGTAAGGAGATAGAGTCCATGGCCCCAAAATACCCCTCTCTTACCCACTTCCCACTGGCTTCTTGGCACAGCTGCCTGGGGCCATGGTTGTTTGAAGGCTCTATCAACAGGGCTGCCGAGAGCCGACACAGCCATAGACAAAGATTCCATCTGCCCCTCCCCATATGACCCTGATCCAAACCAAATATCATAAAAGAAATCACTTGGCTGGTGTTACCATGCATCTATAATAATAAAATGGATCCATAATAATAAAAACAAAATAATAAAATAATAATAATAATAAAAAAATAATAAAAAGGATCCCCACGTCCATTTGTCTGTCCATTTATGGCAGGCATAAATCAGAAAATAAAACTAGGGATCGCAAAACCGACCACCAGCTTCAGGATGATCATGTGAGTTTCGGGGCCAACAATGAAAATAATTGGTATATCCTGGCCCAGGTTATCTCCAGACTCCCGATGCTATTTGCAGTGGAAGCTGAGCTTGTGTGGTGGTTAAAGTGTCAGACAAGGATCTGGGAAAGCCAGGTTCAAATCCCCACGCTGCCATGGAAGCTTGTTGGGTGGCCTTGGGCCTGTCTCACACTCCGCCTAAGGTACTTCACGGGGTTCGTTGTTTTGAGGATAAAACAGAGGAGAGGAGAATAACAATGTAAGCTGGTTGGGTCTCCCTTGGGGAGAAAGGCGGGATATACATAAAGTAAATAAATAACTTCTGTTCCTCATTGGGCTCCCCCAGTCCCTCCCTGTCAGCGGTCCTATAAGAACCAGTGTTGCTGCTGCTAGGAATAAGTAACTATATGCTTTGTTTTAAAAACTGTTTTGCTTTGTTTTGTATTAGCTGCTGGGGAATGACTTGAACCAACCCAGCTTTAAGTTTTATTACGTTATTGTACCAAGGCGGGGTCAGCCTTTACAGATTCTTTGAACATCGGTGGGCCCAGGCCTCTCTTGGACTCTGCTGCAGGGTCGTCAGGTGCCCGTTGAGGCCAACAGAACTCCCATCCCCACTCTCCATTGCCTGCTGTTGTTCCAGTCAGCAGCAGGAGGAAAATGGAGGGGAAAGGGACCAACAATGTTGATGTTTTAACTCCATGCAATGCTCTATACCAGTTTGGTATAGTGGTTAAGTGTGCAGACTCTAATCTGGGAGAACCGGGTTTGATTCCCCACTCCTCCGCTTGCACCTGCTGGATGACCTTGGGTCAGTCACAAGCTCTGACACAGCTGTCCTTGAAAAAGAGCAGTTTGTGTCAGAGTTCTCTCAGCCCCACCCACCTCACAGGGTGGGGAGGGGAAGGAAAGGAGTTTGTAAGCTGCTCTGAGACTCCAAGTGAAGAGCAGGGTATAAATCCAATCTTCTTCTTCTTCTTCTTCTAGGAACCAACCCAGTAAATACCATAGAGTTTGGGGGATCCCTAGGGCATCATAGTGAGGAGTAACACTTTGTCTTTCCAGGTCCCATCCCCAAATAGCTCCTGGGGAATGTAAATGTGGGCCTGGCATCCCTATTTGCTGTCAGTCACCCAATGCAGGACAGATCCTCTACTTATTCACTTATTTATTAAATTCCTTCTTGGCTCAAGGTGGCTTACAGATAATAATCAAAACATTACTAGTTAAAACCAAGTAACATTTTAAAAAACAGATATCTTCCCTCCTACATACACCTACACAAAGATCCATCGCCTCTTCAAGGAGCCTGTTCCACAGAATGGAAGCTGTGATGGAAGTTTGGGCTGTGGTCAATGCCGGGCAGGCCACTCTAAGTTGTGGGACAGCCAGCAGATGGTAGCCTGTAGTTGGAACACAGGAATATATGGGAGAAGACGGTTCTTGATGTAGGCCATGAAGGGCCAGCACCTTGAACTGAACTTGGAAACAAACTGGCAGCCAGTGTGTTTTAAAATGGGGGAGATGTGTTCCCATAAATTACCCCTGACAATAATTGGGCTGCTGCATTACGGACCAGTTGCTGTTTCTGGGTTGTTTTCAAGCCCACCACAGTGCACATTACAGTAGTCCAACTGTGAGGTTACAAAAGCAGGAATCAGCATAGCCAGACCATCTGAGTCTAAGAAGGGTGAAGAAATGACAAACAAAATGCAACTGAATGAAGTCATTCTTCTTTGTCACTGTTGTAGTATGAATGGGGATATAAAGATTTTTATATATAAGTTTCTTCTTCTTGATTGTTCATATTTATATTTATCTGGTTTTTATAGATTTATTCTTTAAGTAATATTTTATTAGGATGTTAGAAAGGCCTGTTATATAGAAGGCTTTCCTCTTGTAGGTCTGATATTGTTAGCAGACAACATAATAGGTACAAAGTTCATGATTCTGTAGTTCTTAGGGCAAACCTTTCAATGTCTGGGTCAGATAGGATTTTAGTCCCATATCAGTAATGAATACTTTTGTTTAGGGAAGAACAAGCTTTAGCCGATATGCCTTAGGTCATGTCAAGTAAATATGTGACGCCATTGCATAGACACACCTTTCTTACATTTGACCAATAAGGAGATTTTCATGTAAATGTTGTTTAAGTTTTTGTAACCAATTATGCCTTTTGAATATTATTCCCATGATGATGGTATGATGATGTCATTTTAAGTATTTAACTTTATGTATTTCCTGAATATGTTCAGAATATGCTCAAAGAGAAGATGAAGAAGAAAAAGAAGAAAGTTGTCAATTTTTGGTTGACTATTTGGTCTAATTGTTTTCCTATTAAAAGAGGCATGTTTTCTAATTATGCTGAGAAGAAAGCAATCAGCTTTGATGGGTCCTTTGGCCTAATTGTTTTCCATATTTCATTACAATAAAATACAAGAACTTCCTCCTCATTTGACTTCATTTCTGACATGGAATCTAATATCTACAACACTGTGCCAACCTGCTTTTCAAACTGCAAAGCTGGTTCTAAGATCAACCCACTCTGCAAAAGGTAACTGCTCTCCATCTAAGGAAATATACAGATCATGGCTCAAGGTACCTTCCGCTACTGGAAGAGATCTGTTCTGCTGGACAAATGATGAAAGGTACAAATGGAGCCTCTAGATTCAATCTGATATCTTTGCTGTAATTACTGAAGTGGTGACATATGTATGCAAATTTGTCCACCTTCATGTAGGGCTGCCAAGTGGGGGCGGGGGGCGGATAAACCCCCGCTTTGGAAGCTTCTTTATGGGGTACCCATTTGGATCACTGCTTTTAACAAAATGGTAGAACAACTTCAATCCAATTTTGTGAGGAAAATACTAGGGTTACCTCTGTGTGTTCCCTATGCCGCCATTTGTTTGGAAGTTAATTTGATACGCTTGGAAACAAGGGCTTGGATAATTACTTTCAGATTTTGGTTACGTTTGCATTTTAGGAACTGTCCCAATAGCCTGATTACATATCTGTTGAAAGAGTCTCATTGTTCTGAATGGTTTGCTGCTATAGAAAGGAAAATTGTCTCAATAGGCTTATGCTTGAATGATATGATGTCCTTATCTGAAACACACATCTTTGCTCTGCTCAAACAGAGATTAATTGATATTGAAATGCAAGAACTTAGAGCCCTGGCTTCTGGTAGATGCTCCCCTTTAAGATGGGCTTGTTTTCCGATCAACACCCCTGCACAATACTTATCGGATATGACTTCCCCACAGCTGCGTAGAGCATTTATGCTGGCCCGCTTCAACGTGCTCCCCTCTGCGGTTTTAGCAGGAAGATTTAAGAAAATCCCCTACTCTGTTAGGTATTGTGATTGTGATTCAGAGGAGATTGAAACAATCAAACATGTATTCCTCTATTGTAGTTTGCATGATGACATTCGGGCACTTTATTTAGAAGCTATTCTTAAGAAGGATGTCATGCAATCTGATGACAGAATGTTGTACCGTTTACTGGCTTCACAAAATATAGAGGTTATTGAAGCGGTGGCTAAGTTCTGCAACTGCCTCATAATGAGGAAGCTGTGTGTTAAACCCATGAATTGAAGGGTGACTGTTTATGATTCTGATCGATGCCAATAAAGGTTTTGAATTGAATTGAATTGTTGAATTGAACCCCCGCTTTGGAAGCCTGATTTCCGCCACTGCGGAATCGGGCCCCAGGGGGAACTCCGCCCTCCAAAGCGCAGCGTGGCCCGCCACCTACCCCCGTGCATTGAGTTTCCCAGTTCTCAGAAGAGGTGGAGGAGGAAGGAACTGGGAACGGGCGCCTCAGCCTCCTTTTTCTGAGACGGCAGAACAGACCCCCGTCCCTCTGTGCGGAGTGACTCCAGAGGAGCCCCATTGAGCTGCATTATAGGGCCGGGCGGAAGTCCAGTCCCGCGGGGTCTTGACGGGAAAGGGCCGGAAGCTTTTTTTCATGGGGCTGCAGCAGAGAAAGGGTTAAAGCCGCCACTATTTGCTAGAGAGGCCGAGCAAGGGAGGGGAGAGTGGAGAGGGCAAGAGAGCCGGGAGGGCTTCAGACTTGCAAAAGCGGGAAAAGCCTTGCAGACGGAGCCTGGGCAGGCTTACTCTCAAGTAGTTCCATTCAGTCTCCGAAGACAGAAATTTGGCTCTGGCGTTTTTGGCGGAGGTGTGTGTTTAGATCCTTTCCCAACGGGGTTTCCTTCTGCGGGTGTTTCCCTTTGTCAGCCCCGGTCCTGGGGTGCCTGCCTGGCGGGTCGGCAGGGCTTGCAAGACGGCTCTTTTCTGGGCAGCCTCAGGGGATCCTGATCCGCCGGGCGGCTGGTAGGTGATGGTGGGGAGCAGAGCAGAGTCGCACCCGGCACCCCAGACACCCGGCTTTTCAAAACACCCCCCCCCGGTTTTGGGGAGCAAGACCGGCCGCCAGGCAGGCGTGCACACCCCTTTCCGCTCCCTCCCCCCACCAGCCCGATCCCCCGCCCTGGTCGACGTGGCCCGCCTCTCATCCCGTGAGAGCCTTCGCAGTTCATGCGCCGCCGCTTCCTGTGGCAGCTCCATCTATCTGGCTCCCCCCCTCTTCGCGCACATCTATTCCTCTCTCTCCCAGGTGCTAATCGCACAGCCACCACCACAGATTTTCCATTAAGGTCTCTGGTCCCAAATACACTGCTCTGCCACCCCCAGGGGCTGTCATTCCACTGAGGGGCCTGTCATTCCAGTCTCAGAACACTCCTTCTACCCTCAGGGGCAGTCATTCCACTTTGGGGCCTGTCATTCCAGTCCCAGAGCAGTGTATTTGGGACCAGAGACCTTCATGGAAAATCCATTCCAGATTTTCTTTGCAACTCTTCTTGAGCTGTAATGTATTTCAATGGAGCCTATGCAAGTCAATTGGCATTCTTGGCTCCCATTATTTCCAATGGGCCTTCAAGTCTCTCCCATTGTTTCCAATGGGCAATCTTGTCCTTCCTTTTAGTACATCCCGATGACAACGACAATGATAAAAAGTTGGCAAGCCCATGTGCACACTTTCCTAGGAATCACCACCACCTGGGGTATGGGCACATGGTTAATGTTTTGGGGGAATGGACTTAGGAAAGCGGACTGGCGGACTGGCAGTAGAACCTCTGTGAGTCTTCCCTTTGAGGTGCTCACTGGTTTTTTAGCCTCCGGCTCACACAGTTTTGTCTTAGCTCAGGAAGGATGGCTACAGAGCAAACTAACTGATGCAGTGGCCAAATCACTCGCTCACAACTTTAATGCCAGTAGCTCACCAAGTAGAATTTTTGCTCACAAGACTCCACAGTTTAGAGGGAGCACCTTCTTTGGGTGGTTTGGTGAGCAAAGTGTTGTAGTAACTGCATAATCCTGATCTTACTAATTGTCTAAAGTATGAATTTTTGAAACACCCACTCTCCCAGGATTCTGCAAATGATGCAAAACTGAATTATTGAAGAGGGATTTTCTACACAGGCAATAGGGTTCCCCTGTAGAAAATGGTTTACAGAGTTCTGTGGATAAATGAGTAGGGACTGTGGTCTATACTGCTAACAGGTGACCTGCATCCGACCGTCAGCTGCTCACTTTAAAGGGCAGGCAGGCAGCCATTTCAGGGCGTCCTTTCGCTCCCCCCCCCAAAAAAAAGCGAGAGGGGCTGCCTGTCTGTATTAGCCACAGTGCAGTGTACTGGAAGTGATATCATTGGAAGGGGAAGCGACATCACAGGAAGTGACATCACAAAAGTCTCCTGGCTCCACCCCCAAAGTCCTCAGATATTTCTGGAGTTGGACTTGGCAACCCTACCTTCATGTAAAGCAGATTCATGTTAACCCATATATATCTAGGGTGTGAAGGTTTTTTGTTTTTTTTTACAAATTCTATTATTCCAGATCAGTTGATTATTTCCCAAAGCACTTACCTGTGACCAATGTATCAGATTTTGTACAGATGTTCCAACTAAACGATTAACTTCATATCCATCTACTTGACTCTGAAAGGTACAAAGGATTCTTTTGAATAATTTCTGTTCCAAAAGCTACTGTTGGCTTCTTTACAAATAAATGTTTAGGAATTCTACATACCATATTTAGGGCCTTTTGCGCTGACCAAAATAAGTTGTATATGATATTAGAGCAAATATTTGAGTATTCAAAAAAACTACAAAATCCAGACTTGTCACGAGATACCGGTCTTCGCCAATTAAATTCTTTAGTGCCCAATATGATCTATAAGATTCAGAAAGACACATGCCATTATCACTGTACAACAACCCAGAAGTTATTATTCTATTTACCACCATTAATTATTTGCAAATATATTAATGTGTCTTTTGTCACCCTTTAGAAGAACATTATCATCAGCTGAAGAGGAGGAGAATTGGTTTCTATATCCCACCTCCTTATGGAGTCTCAAAGTGGCTTACAATCACCTTCTCTTCCTCTCTCCACAACAGGCATGTTTTAATTTTAAGCCTCCTAAATTATATTTCTTAGACAGAATAAAATGTTTAGTTTAGTAAATGTTAGATACGAGACTCGAGGAAGCAGGTGAACAGTGATAACAGCTTTATTGAAACGAAGTCAGAAGAACCAGAACGAGACAAACAGAGCAACAGGCTCCTTTTTAAACAGTCCGGGCTTGGCAAGCCACACCCACGTGTCAGATAACAACCAATCATATTTAGTACATAACGACCAATCAGTTTGCTTCCCTCCAGTACTTCCCTGGTTCTGATAGGTCGGTTTACAATACCTTGCAAGTTCAATACATACATACATTCATTCCATTCCATACATAACAGTAAATACTAGTTTCGATTATTACAATGTTTCAATGGTATCCATTTATTTATTATTTGATTTGCAGCCCAAGAAACAGTATTCCTCTTTCAGAGATTCAGCATAAAGGCTAGGTTCAAGTTTAGTAACACCCAAGACCAGCAAGATTTTCAAGGTATAAGTGTCTGAGAGTCAAATCTCCCTTTGTCAGCATAAGGATTTCACAATGCAATCCTAAGTAGTTATACCCTTCTAAAACCACTGAAATAAACAGGCTTAGGAGGGACTGCACTGCCATCTGTTTAGGACTGCTAAGTACCAGCAAGAAGGAATTACATAGTCCCTCAGATCACCTCTAGCATGTTGATATCACTTCAACACATGCATAATAGTGGTTGGAGGTATCTGGCGCTATAGAGCCGGAAGAAACCAGCACAAGTTTTGCAGACCCTAACTTCAAAGGGAGAGAGGAAATTCTGCAACTCAGTCAGATCACCCTTAATTCCCAGTCTAGGTATGTACTTCAGTTGGACTGGAACAAGTCACTAGCGTGGTTCCTAATGGTACCATGCACAACTAAAGTAATACCCTTAAGTTCCAGGACAAAGAAGTCACATTTCCTTCTATCACACAGTATTTCCATTCTATGAGCTTTCCACATTCTTTTGTATGTTCTAGCCCTGTACTGCTTCGGTTTATCCCATGATTTCTGCACACATTTTTATGCCTTTAGTTTTCGCTTCAGTTTTCCAGGTTGGTGTAGCAATTAAGTGCGTGGACTCTAATCTGAGAGAACCAGGTTTGATTCCCCACTCCTCCACTTGCACCTGGCTGGATGACCTTGGGCAAGCCATAGTTCTGATAACAGCTGTCCTTGAAAAAGAGCAGTTTCTGTCAGAGCTCTCTCAGCCCTACCTACCTCACAGGGTGTCTGTTGTGGTGAGGGGAAGGGAAAGGAATTTGTAAGCCACTCTGAGACTCTCCTGGGTAGCGAAGGGCGGGGTATAAAACCAAACTCTTCTTCTTTTATTTCTGGTTCTTTTAAGACTACTTTTGCTCCAATCTTTTTCTGGAAGCCAATTCTGAGTTACTTGAAGGGCGAGCCAGTTTGGTGTAGTGGTTAAGTGTGCGGACTCTAATCTGGGAGAACCGGGTTTGATTCCCCACTCCTCCACTTGCACCTGCTGATGTGACCTTGGGTCAGTCACAAGCTCTGGCACAGCTGTCCTTGAAAAAGAGCAGTTTGTGTCAGAGTTCTCTCAGCCCCACCCACCTCACAGGGTGTCTGCTGTGGGGAGGGGAAGGGAAAGGAGTTTGTGAGCCGCTCTGAGACTCCAAGTGAAGGGCAGGGTATAAATCCAATCTCTTCTTCTTCTTCTTCTTCTACTACTACTACTACTACTACTACTTTTTTCTCCGGGTATAATGTTTCTATCGGATTTCTGTGTCCTGCCCACCCACAGCCCACTTTCTGATGATTATAATAATCATAATAATAATATTTCCATTTATTAATCGCTCAATCCATGCAGAGCTGCCGGCTCTGAGTGATGTACAGTTACTCATGAATTTCAAATGGGACTAACAATGCTGGGGGTAAGGGAAGACAACATATATCAATTAAATCACACACATATTTTTGTAGTCAACGGAGATAGTCAGCAGCAAGGTCCAGGCGTGTTCCAGCAGCATTCCTTTCCTCGGCGACGCTTGATGTCGTCAGCGTTGTCTCAGTCGTAGCGCACCACTGCCACCGTCTGGCCGAGTGGCCTATTGCAGGCTTATTCTTGCTGCGTAGTTCTTTTTTTCGGCTTACAGAGCTTACGCACAGACCATCCGATTGGCTAACACAACCCCTCCCGAGGGGGGTGTTGTGTGCCCACTCTCTCTAAGGAATGGTACCCATTTTAAATACTCGCCAAAGCTTTCGAACCGCTGGGTGGGCGGCGAGCTGGGGACAAAGACTGGCAGCTCACACCAGTGCGGGGCTTGAACTGACAGCAGTCCTGTTCAGCTCAGCTGTTAACCAGAGGATACATCCCCTGTGCCACCGCTCTCCATTAGATGATTAGACTGTCATCATCATCAAACCACTCCCCCACACCGCCCTGAAGATGAGTGGTTTCATTTTTGCTTTTTTTAAGGCATTAAAATATTAATATATACGTATACCTTTGTAATGATAGGGTAAGCAGGTTCTTCTTTTTAATTCTCTAGTCTCTTCTCTTGAGGAGATATGCCTTTTTCTTTATATCTCCACAAGAGAAGAGGCTAGAGACTTACTTTTTGGGGGGGGGGGGATGAAAGCTGGGAATCCAGAGAGCCTGCTTAACCTATCATTACAACAGTATATCAATATAAAGATATTTTAGTACATTTTTTTAAAGTGCAGCTATGATATTGATATAAGCATGTGCAAAAAATTAAAAGGGGGGGTGCAGTGACACCACTGATGACGACGGCATCCTCCTTTGAAAATCCTGATTCTTTAAGGCACATGAAGAAGAAAATAAACTGGCTCCACAACTGTGAAAATGCAGAGGGAGGGCGGACATGAGGAAGAACTAAGCCTAAACCAATTCCAGTGCTTGTGGATTGACTGCCAAGAAAATTAGGAGCAAGTCGAACATGTGGAAAGGCTCTACAAATGGGAAACAGGTTTGCCAAAAATATAAATGAAGTTGCTTTCAACTCATTCAGACCACTGGTCTATCAAAGTTCTCTATCTATCTTATCTATATATCTTATCTATCTTATTTATCTAGTACTGCTCATATGGCTATCGCCTTAAACGATAGAACCAAAGAAAATATTTTAAAAGACCTTACTGTTGTATTTGATTATTGCGCCTATGAATTTTGCAACTGAGAGGGTGACACGATTGTTGGTACCCGAGAGTAGCCATGACACCTGGGCTCGCACATTTAGCAGTTCCATATCTTTAAGTAAAGGGGTGACTAAATTAGCCCTCAACTCATCAAACATAGGGCACTCCATAATCATATGTTCAATGGTTTCGATTGTATGATAATCTAATAGAACATGCACCTGCATGTTCTATTAGAGTATGATATTTTGTTATATCTGCCCTCCAAAACTGCCGAGGGAAGAACGTTCAGTCTTGCCAAAGTAAAAGCTCTTCTTAGTTTTGGGACTGTCAATTGATAAAAATATTTTGGCAGTTGCATCGTGAGGGCAATTCCCAAATAGAGTGTTGAACATACCCTGCATGCCCTAATAGACATACTTGAAACATCCAGTTTCCTTACAGATTTTTTAATTTGTCTTCTAATGTCTATCGAAGTTAGTATTGTTTGCTCTAACTAGCAACAGCTCAGCATGCCCCTACTACCTGAACGAGATGCTAAAACCTTGGGCCTTCTTCACACAAAACAGATGCACTAGCACTGAGCCCTGGCCTGGATGCCCAAAGCTACTTACTAAGCCAATTGTGGAAATACGGTAGGATTTGAACCCAAGCCAATAGTCCGTTCACTAAACCTTGGCCTCCTATCTGTTCCTCATTTATTTCAGATATACTCCTTAAAATCATTTGCCCCATAAAAGCAAAAAGCAAAAAGCAACACTAATTTAATACATTATCAGCATAGTAAATTCTAATAAGTACTGGTCATGTACTGACATATTTAGACACCAGCGCAATGACAGAATGCTTAGCTCATTCTCTAAGTGGTCCTTGGCTACTCCACAAACCATTAATGTTTTAAAAAATCCCTTTCAATATGGTGACTTAATATGGCACAAGTACTCATATTCCCCACACACGCACACCAGCAGGTATAAAAGCAGTCTGAAGATCACTAATTTTTTGCACTGCCAAATGGCATGGGGAAAGGGTTAAACGCCCCACCCACCTCCCAAATTTCCCCCTTGAAATTTCAGCTGCAGCAACGTCAATCTGTAAAAGAGAAAGGGCGGCTGGTTCAGTTCTAGAGCACCTGCTTTGCAATCACAGTATTCCAGGTTCAATCCCCGCTATCCCCAGCCAAAAAGACCTCAAGTAGCAGGTTTGGGAAAAGATCTGTAATGTATCCATCCCAGACCATGTGTGTGGCCATTTCACCCTGCGGTCATGCGAAGCAGCCGAGCTTTGCTCGCAGTAACAATGGGACAAGCAGATCCTAGCCGGCACCTATCGGCAGGCTAGGCTCCCGGACGAGAGCCTATGGAACTCTCAGCCACTGTAAATAGCCAATCACTTGTGTATGGGTGTGTTTTGGGTGCGGGGTTGTTACACATATAAACCAGCCTGAGAGCTGGTCAGTTTGTTTTATTCCGAACCTTTAATAAAGTCTTAGAGCTGAATCACTGCGTTAGTCTAAGGACTTTTCACTGGCGAAGAAGATGGGTTCTACCGCCCATGAACAATGACCCGGATGCGTATTCGAGCATCGCATCGAGCCCCGACACCGAGACCGCGCCGCTCC